GTTGTGGCCGACAATGGTGATGTAGTTGCCGGAAGTACGGCCGAGAGTGCCACGGTCACCAATCTTCTCCTCGACGTTGGAGACGACGGTACCCTCAGGCATCTCACCGAGGGGAAGAACGTTGCCAACGGTGAGAGCAGCCTTCTTTCCGGCGTAGATGAACTGGCCAGTGTACATGCCCTCGTTGGCGATGAAGGTCTCGGTGACCTGCTTGAATCGGTAGGGGTGGCGGAAGACGACCTTGGCGAGAGGGGCACCACGACCTGCGCAGACAATAATCGTTAGTTGTCGTTCCTCCATCACTGCATTTGCACACAATTGTGCAAATTCGTTCAAAAAATTCTCGGGGGGCTCATCGTTCGGGGAACTTGCCAGCATCGTGGACGATCTCTCGGACTACACCTCGAAGGTAGCCATGGCGCTCGGCATAGTCGAGGTTACGGAACTTGGCAGGAGCCTTGTTCAGGCGTGTGTTGGCCGCTAACAGGCGTCAGTATCTTGATGTTTTTCGATATCGTGGACAAGGCTCGTTCGGTACTGACTGAAGATGGATCCACGACCCTTACGCTGGTTGCGAATAACTCTACCCATGGCGGCTCTTCTTCACGGTGTGAAAAGGGAAGGGTAGTCTGTGAAGCTGCGGGTTAGTATGGAAGATCGTAGGCGAGGAAGAAAGGAAGGGGAGGGGATATTTACCTGGCGATGGCCGCTTGGTGTGTTGTTAGAAACGCTCGCGCTGACTACCAATTTTGTGCGTCGTTCTTTCTCAGTTTACGGTGGATCCAATCACGTGATAGGGCTCGATCGCTCTTTCCAATTTTCAGTTCTGATTCGAATGTGGAGTCTTCCCTGTTTACGGGCACGGGCAGTAATAGAACGGGGCAGGTGTATGTACATCGGCCCCATAAATTATCCAGTGTCTGTCATTGGATGTTAGCGCGACGCGTGCTTAACCAATCGACCTTTCGCCTCTCGACATCGCTCAAACTGAGCTGAAGTCATCACCAGCGATCATCACCACAACAGCTCAATCATGACCTGGTGCATGCTTGATTCTTAGCAATATCTCGTCTGGTCAAGAGTGCTAGATTACACCACGTCGCTTTCACCACATATACTTTTTCGTCGGTATCGTTGATGCCGTTCTGAACAGCCTGTTGTCAATCTTGCGTTTCCTGCCGTTTGCGTATATACCACGCGTGGGTTTTTATGTTGCGTTGCGGGATGCTAAGCGGGGCGATACACTTTGATGTTGAGGTGGTTGAAGTCGACCAAGCGGTTGATCCATGGTGAGCGACAAGGGGAGGACGGGGCGTTCAAAGTGGAATATCCCTAAGTGGGTGCCCGCTGGTTACGTCTTTGGACATCGCGACGACTTCTGCGATATGTTTCTAGTGGGACATGCTCATTCTTGGCCTGTTCTGTCTGAAAAGCCCTTCGTCTCTGAGACAGACCTTGAGTGTGGCGGGAAATTGCTCTATCTAATGCTACATGGAGGTGAGAGCAGATGCCGATTCTCGATATTCGGTTTCTCATTCACGACTTTGCGACTCATTCTTGAAATATGGCTCAAGCCAGAAGAGTTTTTGGCTATGCGGCAACTGGCACTGCTCAAGGAGAAAGAACATTGGGGGTTGATTTGGTGCCGAAGTTCGGCCAGGGTGCTTATTTGAAGATCATACGGCCAAACTTGGCCAAGATGACGAACAAGTGAAGACTCTTCAGTTCGTCCTGGCCCAACGCGAGAGTCAATCTACCTATGCGGAAACTAAACCACAGAGGAAAGGGACGAGAGTTGTGTACTGGTGGTATACTATCAAACACCACATTTGTTGGAATAATCTCATCATGACATTGGAACGGAGATCTTGGTCCAGATCGTGCCCCAGAAGCTTCGTATGGGGAGCGTGCAAGAGGCGGTCACTGTTACGAGGGTGCAACAGCCTGGGTTGCAAAGAGCTCTCGGCTGGGGGAACAACAAAGGATGTTTTTTACTTTGTTTCTATTGCGAGCTTGATTGTTTAGATAGTCAATTGATATTTGTCTAGCCTATCAGGACTCACCAGCCTAATCTGCGGCTCTTCGACCAGGCTAGTGTGTGCTTGTTCTGTGTCAGAGCCCAAGTTACGTCGTTCCTCCTTCTCCCCACACTCATCTCCATCTCCATGTCAACCTCACATCAACAAACCACACAAAAAATGTCGGCCGAAGACGACTCCTCCGACCTCTCTTCGCTCTCTTCGTTGTCACCTGTGCCTTCTGATATTGAGCTAGACGAGCCAACCCAAGAGCCAGTCGCCAAGCCCAAAAAGGGTATCCAGAAATACTTCTCCAAGGCTACAGACAAACCAGCCAAGGAGGCTTCGCCGCCACCACGAAAACGCTCACCGTCGCCCCCTCATGAATATGTATTGGCAGATAATCCAGACATTGCAGTATGTGCTCTACTGCTGTACCCAGCCTCCTTTCACAATGTTCTCTTTTGCCGTTCAGCGCGTGTCGCAGCTGTTGCGACGCGCTGCAGTCGCGCATTGGACTTTAAGAGTGCAGGCTAACAGCTCCAGTTCATTGTGATGTTCAGAAGCCGATTCAATGACGCATTTCCTAAATCTCTTGCCCATTTTGGCCCACAAGAACTCGAACGTGACATTGTCGAACCCATTCCTGGCGATCGAGCAGAACATTTCCTTTGCGCGTTGCTGGGGTTACTATTGAATCGCAAGCAAGATGTCAAGTATGGCAGGACCCAATGTCGCAAGAAACAATGCGCTAATTGAGAATTAGGCCTGGCCATTACGGTCGCGCTTTGGAGGATGCTGTCAGTACTCACAAGAACCAATGGGCACCGGCTTGGGAGGACAAGAGCCCTTTGTCTGGCGGCGCGACATTCGCCTCGATGAACCCCACGAAACGAGTGCGTATTGGCAAACCAACCCTCGAGCCTGCCCCTGGTGCTAACATTTATGAAGCTCACACTCCTGCGATATCTAATTCTTTGGACTCTTTCGTCCTCCGACACCGTTAAAGGACTTATCAATCAATCATACAAGCAAAACCGCCACGAAGATGATACGAACCAGCCTAGATCGGTACAGCCTTGGGGATCAGATGGAGACAAGCGCCGCTATTTTCTGATTGAAGGACAAGACGACACTGCGTTCCGCGTTTACAGAGAGAGCAATCCTGCTGGGACCAACAGAACATGGTGGAGCGTTGCGGGTACCATCGAAGAGCTCAAGACTCTTGCTGAGAAACTCCAGGTTAAGGATGGCGGACCAAAAGCTACAAAGCTAGCTCAGAAAATGTTCTCTGCGGTGCCCCGATTCGAAGCCGGCGAAGATGTTAGTTATAAAGCCCTGGCTCTGGCACCAGGACTGGGTTCTGCCACAGCTCTCAACTCGACTACAGGACTGACACTTTATAGAAACGGAAGCGCCGTGATTACCGCCAGGCGCGCAAGGAACAGTTCAAGAGACCGGAGCCTGGGTTTTCTCTTTATGAGGGTCGAACCCGGGGCAAAAAGATGAAGTATACATACTCCGACGATGAAGATATCTTCACTACCGACTCGACAACTCGACGATCTACCCGCAACACTGGAACTCACACACCCGTAGAGACTGGCCCTGTCACTACTGCTAGCGGCCGGCAGATCAAGGCACCAACACGGCTGAACCCCACCACTGGAAGCAGTGCGCCAGGCAGTGTACAGGGAGACACGTCCGAAGTTGATGGAGAGCAATCCGTTGGTCCAACGGGACGGCCTCGCCGATCGGCAGCAGTGAACCACGGCACAACCGGCTGGGCCGAGAACAACAAGGGACCCCGGCACAACGCCTCTGATGATTCTGACGATGAGAGCGAGGCCGATTTCGGGGATGACGAGGAAGATGTCGATGAGCATGTGCCTGACGAATCAGAAGACGAAGACGATTTCGACGAAGATGAAGCTATGATGGACGATGACCTGGAAGAGAAAAACCGAAGTCTGGTTGTAAAGCTTTCAGTAACACCACCAAAGTTGCGGAACGTCCTGGGACCCAACTCACAAGCTGGAAACAAACTACCAACGCCGAGCTCTGATAAGGGAGGCGAGGAGCATCGACTGGGAGAATCGCCTCTTGTTGAGATGCAAGACGCCCCAGAAGCTACATCCAGCAAGGAAGCACAGGCTGCAGCCCAGCCATCTCCCACTCTAAACATGAACTTTGCTGAACGCAACAACGCTAGCCCAGCAGCCCTGCATGCGACGTCTCTGGCTTTTAGAGGGAGCCCAGAAAAGACGCAAGCGCATCCTGTTCCCCAACCTCTCGATGTTGGGGCAAATCACGAGTAGGGGCTGGTCATTTGACACTATACATTTTTGTTGGAGTTGGGGAGCCAAGGGTTTATATGACAAAAAGCCAGCGACGCAAAAGGTTATCGATATGGCGGAATGGAAATACAGTATTGGAAGAAGCAAGGTGTTGATGGCATCGAACTTGCGTGCCCGTAAACGGGGTTCTTTAGAAGGTTCAAAATGAGGCACAACGGACAACAGTATCTTGATCCAGTGAGGGGATCGGTAAAGGATTGAGATGGGCAAGTATGTCAGCATAGCGAGGCATATAAGTTATTATACCAATGTTAAGCTATATACGATTGTATTGCCATTTAAGTCTTTATGAAGGCAGATATCACTGAGAGTGATGCATTCAGGAACGTTGAAACAGGCGATGTGTGACATAGTTAATGGTCAAGGAACAGACTCAACTCTCAGTACCAGAAGTTGGTAGTTATGAGAGGACTTTGTCATCCCACCTACCGACTAAGAAGTCCATGCTGGGGGTTTCGAAGTGGCAGAAGCCCATACTGAGTGAAAGGCTTTGATAGGCGCTCTGGGCTTACTTCTCATACGTTACAGAATGATTTGTCGTCATTTTTAACTTCGTAAATCATACATGGTCATGCCATCGGCGTCCTGAGTATTTTGCCTGTAGTCTTTTCATCTCCGGATCTTGTCAACCTCTCTTAGGGTGGGTAGGTATCTTCCCTAGCATAACAAGTTAGCTTGCATGAAACATGGCTATGTGTTCAATGACCTACAATTGTTGACTCCCCACCACCAGCGCCTTACTCGCGCACCTAGTGTGTTGCCGTGCAATCGAGCATTTCTGTTCCAATGTTGCCAGCCACAGAGGAAGAGGTTGTACACTAAGCCTTGGGTTAAGGGCATGATGATCTGGCACCGTGTTAGCGCCCAGAAGCTGTGAGACTCTTCATATGCATGCCTGATCCCTCGTTGTAATCAACGCTACCTTCCACCATGTATCCGCCTTGGAGATACTTCGGAGATAGCTCTGCTCGAAGCGCAGATCTGGCAAAGGAGGTAGGTGGGAATGCCTGGGCGCCGGTCGGAGAACGCTGTAGGGGATGTCCTCTTCATCGTCGTCGTCGTCGTCGTCGTCAATTCCACCATCGTGCTCGTGCTTGACGTGCTCTAGGGTCACAGGCTGTCTTCTCTCGGCTGCTGTGGGCGGGTTGATATCAAGAGCAGGATCCGGATGGCGTTCGATGCTGGCAGCCTGGATAGTTGCGGCAAGCTCTGTGGGAGCTGAATCCATCTTTGGTGCACGTAGTTCTGGCTGGAACTATGATGCGAGTCTAGTATTTCCAAGATGTCCCGAATTGCTGTCGCAGGACGGATAGTCCAAGACCCTTATTGATGAGTGTGGTGTTTGATCACTAAAGGTATCGTAAGGTCAGTACATACACAGATACGGAGTAGTGGAGGAAAGGTTAGGTTAGTACCTCTGGTAGGTAGTTACGTAGTGATTGGCGTCGCATGGATGGCCGAGCTGCGGAACGTTGCTGCTGGGCCGGTAGACTACCTACCAACTAGGTACCATGTACCCTGGCTACTACCTTAGCGTGTGGGGAATGACCTAGATCCAATGACATTGACCGAATGAGAAGCTCAAGACGGATTGATTTAATAATAGTCGCTTACAGCTTCTGTCATTGAGCTACAGCAACGGCTTCAGCTCCAACTAAGATTGAACCAGTAGGCCTTAGACATACAGCCTACCTTATGTAGGTGCGTAGGTAGGTAGGGTCACATAGAAGAAAGCTATTTCAATCTCTGGAACAATCTGCGTGGACTTGAACTACTAAATCCGACATGTATCATTGACGGGAAAATCATGATCAGTGCAACGTTGATTGCTGGGGTTTATGCAATCGCACGAGTGAAATCTTTATAACAGTAGAAAAGAGAGACCTGAACCAGTTGGAATTATACAAGGTGAACGTGCTTCTCGAGAGATGATGCAGTGTGACATGTAAACCAGTGGCTTTTAAGGCTGTCAGCATAGCTGTACTGCATGCGGGACTCGGTGTAAAACAAGGATAGGGTTGAAGGTTGGTTCAACGTGATGATCCGCATCAGGCCCATCATAGCCTGTAATCACATAACCCCTTCTCCATTGTCACTCAACCTGTGACGACATGAAGTTGATCCTGTTCATAACCTCGACCATAGTATTTTGCTCTGAGGATGAGCTTCTGTAATGGCGGGATTCAGTGTGACATTCCAGCCGAGCATGTGGTGGACGCCGATATGAATGGAATTGGTGTAAGTCCATTTACCTTGATTCACATCTGTTCCTTTGCTCACATATTTCATGTAGGTTGTATTGTCCTTCGTCATCACAGCTGCAATTTCCGTCATTGTGGCCGTCATGGCTGTTCTCAACCGCGGCATATCCAAGCAGCAGTATATGCGAGTCGATGAGAAGGTCCTCCATTGGATCGGGGTCAGAAAACCTGCCAATGAGTCCCCTAGTAATCTTGGCTATCAGTCCCTTCTACTCGCATTGAGCGACCAGATGTTGGCCGTTGGGCTGTGCTATCTCATCGCCATGTATGCACAAGTCTGCAAAGTATCGCTCTATTCCTTCATGATGGGTGTCACAGAAGGGTTTTCACTGCAAACCCCCCCCCCCCCTCCCAAACCTGTGAGACCTCATCATTGCCTATGGCTGTTGCATCTCATAGCCAACCAGACCTCTCAGGCACTGCTGGCTTTGGCACGGGAGTCGACTCGATGACCAGATGGATGACACCGAGGAGAACGACGACAACACAATTAGAAGAGGGGAAACGGGTAAGTTGCTCTTGTTTTCTCTCCCTTTCATATCAGGGTGCCTACTTCACGGTGTTGTAGACGAACTAACACGTACCAGTCCCTACTTCATACTGCCGAGTCAACTTTGGATCTTCTTGACATTGCCCTCAGAAGCGCCAGAAGGATAACCTATGCTGCGATCTGCCTTGTTCTCTTCCTCTTGGCTGGGTATTTCGTTGCATGCTTTCTCTTCTATCAGTGTGTCGTGCCAGCTACTGCAGGAGTGCTCACCATAGGAGGCATATTTGAACTTTTTCGAGGGTTGCGAGGCGTCCACAAAATAAGAAGTCAAAGGCTTGAGAAGCAAACACATAAATGATGCAGGCCATACACCATAATATGATTGATGGCTTTTGTTTATCCATATTACCTACCTACTACCTACCTACTTACCTAGGCGTAGAATTTAAGCCTGCTGTGACATCATATTCTCGTTAAATGGGCAAGCCTAGTACGAAGGAAGTCAGTCATGGAGCACACCAAATTACTCACTCAAAGTCCATCGCCATTGCTAGTCTTAAACTGAGGCATGGGTGCCTACAGGCAGCAACAGTCCATGATTCAGAAAGCCTAGGTACCTAAAGTACCTATGTAGAGGCGGACTGGGTTCCATGTCAGCAGTGATAATACTGGTAAGATATGGACTTACCTACCTACCTACCTATGTAAGGTAGGTAGGTATGTAATATTAGAGACCCGCTCGGGTACCGATGATTCCAAGCAAAGTACTTCCAACAGCAGCGTCCCCGAGGGCGAAGTACAAGTTACGTAGTCAAAGTGTGAAGTGCATTGACTTCATTGCCACAATTGAGCAGCAAATCAAAGTGGGTTGTGTGCTCTGTGTGCCCGGGTGTGGGTGTGGGTGCCTCACTAGGTCATCGCTCACTGCACGAAAAAATCTGGCACTAACATCCAACTTTTAGGATCTTCAGGCTCCAGAGTCCAGTCCAGAATTAATAGTTCCACGACTCCAGGAGAAATTTCTACCGGAAGATACCACTCCCATACAAAGGTCCGAGCTAAGCACAGTTCAACCGCCAAAATGAGTGACGCTCAGGCGAACGAGGCCGAGAAGAACGTGAGTCTTATTCTTATCCTCATCCCGGACCTCGAATGCCCCTCTTCTTTTCTCGTGTCGTCTGTTGCCCCGCGATCGAGAAATTTAACGTCTAGGACATCGACAAACCCCAAAGACAGTGACTGATGGCATCGTTCAATAGATTGAGATCTGGAAGGTCAAGAAGCTGATCAAGCGTCTTGAAGCCGCCAGAGGAAATGGAACCTCAATGATTTCCCTCATTATCCGTAAGCCCTTCTCGTGAGACAAGCCCTCCCAAGACGCGCACTAACTCGTGTGTCCTTTTAGCCCCCAAGGATCAAGTCTCTCGAGCAGCTAAGATGTTGGCTGAAGAATACGTACGGCTTCAGAGTCCTCTCGAAATTCCCCTATGGCGACACTAACAACCCCTCAGGGTACTGCCTCCAACATCAAATCTCGAGTCAACAGACAGTCTGTCTTGTCCGCCATTACCTCGACCCAGCAGCGCCTCAAGCTCTACAACAAGGTGCCCCCTAACGGTCTGGTCGTCTACTGTGGCGAAATCTTGACCCAGGAAGGCAAGGAGCGAAAGGTCAACATCGATTTCGAGCCCTTCAAGCCCATCAACACCTCCCTCTACCTGTGCGACAACAAGTTCCACACCGAGGCTCTGGCCGAGCTGCTCGAGTCCGACCAGAAGTTTGGCTTCATCATCATGGATGGTAACGGTGCTCTGTTTGGAACTCTTAGCGGCAACACACGTGAGGTTGTCCACAAGTTCTCTGTCGATCTTCCCAAGAAGCACGGCCGTGGTGGTCAGTCCGCTCTCCGTTTCGCTCGTCTGCGAGAGGAGAAGCGACACAACTACGTCCGAAAGGTTGCCGAGTTGGCTGTCCAGAACTTCATCACTGCCGACAAGGTCAACGTTGCTGGTCTCATTCTTGCTGGTTCCGCCGATTTCAAGAACGACCTCAACGCCTCCGACATGTTCGACGGCCGTCTTGCGACCAAGGTTATCAAGGTTGTTGATGTTTCTTATGGTGGTGAGAACGGTTTCAACCAGGCTATCGAGCTGTCTTCCGAGACTCTCGGCAACGTCAAGTTCATCCAGGAGAAGAAGCTCATCGGAAAGTACTTTGAGGAGATTAGCCAGGACACTGGCAAGGTTTGCTACGGTATTGAGGACACCCTCAAGGCTCTCGAGCTCGGTGCCGTCGAGACCTTGATCGTTTTCGAGAACCTTGAGATCACCCGCTGGGTTCTCAAAGACAGCAACGGCAGCGAGGTCATCCTTCACACCACCAAGCAACAGGAGCAGACCAACCGTGACAAGTTCCTCGACAAGGAGACCGGCCAAGAGATGGAAATTGTTTCTCAGGAATCCTTCCTGGAATGGATTGCGGAACACTACAAGGACTTTGGTACCACTCTTGAGTTTGTTTCTGACCGATCCACCGAGGGCAACCAGTTCGTCAAGGGATTCGGTGGTATCGGCGGTCTTCTCCGCTACAAGGTCAACTTTGAGCAGCTGGCTGACTTGAGTGACGACGACGAGTACTACGACGGTGAGTTGGCATAATGCCTAGGAACTGAGAGCTCTTGATTCTAATCAGCAAACAGATTGACCAGCGGATCCCCTCGTTACCAGCGAGGGATCGACTCAAGTTCATCCGTCCATGTACACCAACAGTGCCATGCGCCCCGAGGCGCAGAGGTCGACCGATGCCGCGCCGATGTCAATCGCCCAGCACCGCTTGGTGGAGAGGGACAGTCTCGCGCCTCTCCATTCTTCCCGCCAGGCATCGCGACCCAGTCCGCTTCGCACAATGATGACGGCTTGAGTTATGATCGACGGGAATAGAGGTACATCTCAGACCCTCCAATTCTTGCACCTCGGGAAATCAGAATGTCAGGTCTAACGGCTGGTAGGCCCAACCATTAAAATTGAAGGATAGCGGCGGCACGGCGGCTAGGGTATCGATCTTGAGGGTCATCACGGGTAAAGCATCACATCGCGACGTCCGGCCTGAAGATTGTTGTTATTTGAGTAGAGTCGGCGTTAGCTGGCTGCAAGGCTTGTCCTTGATTGGGCATATATAGTCATGAGCAGGCATTACACGCCGGGTCAACGAAATACTAGTCGTTTGCATGGCCATTCTTCTGAGTTCAAGTGAAATATTTTTATGTACTTCGTATTACAGTACCCAACTGAAAACAGAGGGGGGGATGAAAAGAACTTGTCCGGAGAAGGACTATCCATAAATCAAGGGAACTCACATTACAGAGTATACTCTACGATTTTATGAACCAAGGATTACTAGCATTGTACTGTATGATATCGTATTGCTAATCACCGCGTATTTGAACGATATTAGCTCCACGTCCCATTCCGGTGTTTCTGGTCGCTGTGGGGGTCCGCGGACCTTGGGTAGGTAGGTAGGTACTAAGGTAGTAGTGGACGGGAGGTACCTAGCATGGGTGTGCTACGTCAATACAAACTTACATGGGCTGCACCTAGGATCCAATGACTGGAAATGACCTATCAACGAACACATCTTGTCAACATCATTCCATCTCATCTTCTCACCGTCATATAATCTTCCCTTTCTCCCATATCTGCGCTATAGAGGGACCTCAGCTCAGTCTTAACTGAAGCTGTCGTCAGGCGCTTAAACATAATTATCTTCTTATAATGCCTGAAGACTCCCCTCCACCAGCGGCCAACCAGGCTGGCCGCGCCATCCCCGTCGGCCTCAACGAAGCAGCACTCGATTCTCCGACTTTTCGTGTAACCGCCGCAACCTTTGGCGATCAAGTCGATGCTATAGAAAAATGGCTCAACGGATATGCTCAGTCGACGTCGAAACTACTGCACGATATCCTCGCCCTCGAAGAGACGATTAATACTTTTCTCGTGAAGACGATGCCCTCGGCGGCTGACGGCGTTGTCGACAATGATTATACATTTTTGGCTTTGAAGAGGGTGGGCGATGGATGGCGTGAGTATTGGATTCAAATGATAAGCACAATGAAGAAGATGGAGGGCCTAGTCGTCGACCCTATCCGGCAGTTCATCGTTGGCGATCTCAGGAACTTCAAGGAGTGCAGGAGGGCCATGGAGCAGGCGCAGCGAACGTTTGACTCTACGCTCGCTCGATATGTCAGTCAGTCAAAGACAAAAGAGCCATCAGCTCTGCGCGAAGATGCCTTTGCTGTTTTCGAAACCCGAAAGGCTTACCTCAAGGCCTCGATGGATTACTGCCAGCTTGCACCGCAGCTGCGCTTTAGTATGGATAAGTTGCTTGTCAAAATATGCAGTGAGCGTTGGAGCCAGCTGCGGCGTGCTAGAGAAGCTGCAATCGACACTACGCGCTGGAATCAGGAAATGGAGCGCATTCAGGGGTGGTCGAATGAAATGGGAGCGTCCGAGATGGTCTTCAGGCGAGAGTTGCAGTCTGCCAGGAGAGAGATTGGAGAAAATGCGCTAGTAGGATTCAAGCCATCCCGTGAGCTCGAGGACTACAGCACTTCAACCGTTCCTTTCCTCGGCACTCGTGGCCCCATCACTGTTCGTCTTGAGGAAGGTGCCACAGTTGTCTCTGAAAAGCAAGGATGGCTGTTCCTGCGGGTGCTCTCAGGGAAGCCAGCAAGACATACGTGGATCAGGAGATGGTATTATTGCCGTGATGGCATCTTTGGCTGGCTGATACCAGGGCCTCTGGGAGTTCTTCAAGGTGACGAGATTGGGGTTCTGCTTTGTAATGCAAAGCCGGCTGTGGCTGAAGACAGACGCTTCTGCTTCGAGGTCAAGACCAAGAACCAGACAATCCTGCTCCAGGCAGAGACCCAGGGCGAGCTGACCGAGTGGTTGGAGGTTTTTGAGGTTACCAAGAAGCGGGCTTTTGAGACCAGCATGAACAGAACTAGTGCTTCTCTTCCCGGGTCCATCGATCCTGCGTTTTCCATCTCCCCCCCTAGTATTCCCGAGTTCTCTGCCAAGACCCTCGACGCACAGATCGGTATCTACGATGAATCAAGCCCTAGTATTGACCGAACAAACACACTGCCTATTCCGGGACCAGACGGTAACCTTAATACACGACAGAGCTTTGACGTTAACGGCAGCATCTCTCGTCGTACCATCACTGCTCTGGGCCGAGACCTGGCTCGAGAGGAGGGCGAGAGTGGCCGTGAACATGCTGCCAGAATCATCCAGAAGCTCGACCTACATCGCAAAGCGACCTTTGGCACCCAAGGCCCGGAAGCCGGACAAGGAGGTGCAGCTTCCACGACCGGACTGGCTAGCATGATGGCTACTAGTCACACGCTACCGCCAGGATTTCCAGGGTCTGTTGGAAGCACAACAAATTTCAGGCAGACGCCCAGCATGCTGCCATCGGTTGACACACAAGTTGGCACTTTGGCTCCAGCAACCCTGGCCAAGCCACCCTCCATGACTGGATTGAGTCGAATTGCAGTTCTGACAGCAGGAGAACGCCAACCTGTAGGTAACAACAGGAAACTCCCTGCGTCTGTGGTTGCGAACTACTGGGGAACAAGTCTCTGGGGTGCAATGAACGCACCGCCACAACCCGTCCTTCCCAGACTCGATGAGGATGACCCTATTGGTGTTGTTGTTCCTGGAAGCACTGTAGGGCAAGGTGTTCAGCGGAAGGACGGTGGCGAGTACTTCCCCCGAAACTACCCCCCAGAGTTGAGAGCGCAACACGCCCAGTTTCGACTCCTTTTCCCAGATGCGCCCTTGGAGGAGAAGCTGGTGCTTGTCTTCCGGGCCGCCTGGACTGGTTCTCCTGAGCGAGGGCCCGGCAAACCAGACATGGCGGGCGATGGCCGCATATACGTTACACCCGACAATATGTACTTCTATGGACAGCAAATAGGACTCGTCACGGCGTACAACATCAGTCTAGATATCATCAGTGAAGTAACGGCAGCCCCAGGCAGGGACTGCGACTTCATTTTCCTTCATCTGAATGAGAATGCCAACGAAACAGGGTATACCAGGATCACTATCAAAGTCTTCTTGGAGGATCTCGGTCTACTTCACACTCGTCTCAACCTATTGATCGACGACATCCAGGCTGAGGAGCCCATGGATGTTGAAGCGATCATCACCACCTTGATCAATCTCGAAAAAGAAGAGTATGATCGCCCAAGTCCCAGTGTCGAAAGCTGGGAGGAGGTCTCAGCAAACACACCCATGGATGACGGTACTTCGATGGGTCGGCCTGTTGCTCCACGTATGGAGTTCGGCCCTCCGCTTCGTCTTTCGAAATCGAGGACTCGACATAACCATAAACTTCACTTGCCAGCTCGCCCTGTCATTTATGAACCAGAGGGCATGAAGGAGATGGCGGCTGAGCGACACTTTGAAATTAGTGCCAAGTCCTGCTTCCACGTTTTGTTCGGTGACAAGAGTTTTGTATTCCCAAAGCTCTACTTTGAACGACGTGCTCAGCAGATTGCTCAAGGACCCTGGGTTCTAGTTGATCAAGGCAGGATGAGGCGTGACTTCCAGTTCAAGGTTGACTACAAGGATGTCTTGGGTCGGTCCAAGACGGCCGATGTTAATGACTACCAGATCATTGATGTCTTCAGCGATCACGTTACGTACGTGGTGACTCATGTCAAGACGGCGTGGCATCTGCCTCACTCAAGCTGGTTCAAGGTTGTGACCAAGATTGTCATAACGCACGTGGCCAAGTCCAAGTGCAAACTAGCCATCTACACAAAAACGGATTGGTCGAAAAACCCGGCGCTCTCCAAGAACCTGATTGACCGCCAAGCCATTCACGATGCTGCAAGTGACGCTGAAGAGTTGGCTGAGGTTGCTACGGATCAAGTTCGGAAGCTTGGAACTCGCAGCCGAACAAACAGAGCAATCCAAGTGTATGGCCAGATTGGGCAACAGACAGAGGTGGTGGTCTTTTCGCCTGCTGCAACAGATTCGGCAAAGAAGCAGGCCATCAAGCCTCGAACCCTGACGACAATGGTGTTTGAGACGATTCGGTCTCTGGGAGAGAGTGCAGTATCGTCACTCATCATGTGGGCTATCGCTGTGCTGCGCAACTTGTTCAACCTGATTACAGCCCAGTGGATCATCCTGGCGCTTCTCGCATTCAGTACACTTACAAATCTCCTACTAACGTCAAGCGAGACTTCGACGTGGTGGAAAGAGCGAAGAGCAGCAGGATTCATGCAAAACATCGGAATTCGACCCAATTCCATGATGAGTAAGGCCATATACTTTGCGGATCTGGATACAGCATCCGGGACCAATCAAGGGTTGTCTTTTCCCGAAAACAGCACATGCTTCTCGACCTTCAAGGATCTACTGGATGCGACAGATATGGATGCGCCCTGGGAGGATGCCGGTGCTAGTTTGGCTGCACCCACTAGTCGTGCTACAGCCCGTCGACTTCGACGGACTCGACAGCGGCTAGGATCGTACCGGCATGACTTGCTAGTAGCCATGAGGGTTGTCAACAGCATTGAGCGAGAAATTCTACAGTCAGAATGGGAGAATTGGTTGGTAGATGAAAAGTTCCTTTGTGATGAACTGGATACTATGCTGCTGCAGCAGGGCGACACAAAGGGGCAGAGGAAAGGGGCAGAAGCCGGCAAGGGGCCACAGAAGGCCATGGAGCCTATGCCAGCTAAGAGACGGCAGGCCCTCGAGCAGTGGCGGGATTCTTACTGCGGGAGCTGTAAGCAGGACTACCAGGTTGCGATGAAGGATCGGAAGTTGTCGATTGTGTAACACAATAGAAAGAGCATACTGTTTTATTGGGTAAGGCACCCTAAGTAAGTTTTCCTTGGTAGTAGCTGTACATACAATGTGTAAGTAAGCACTCGAGAGGTGAATAGAACTCTCGGGCACGCCCTCGCCATCGCCTGGCGAATTTCATCTGTCATCAGTCATCATACGTACGGAGTCGGAGCGGACTCTTTCACAAATGCCGAGGAGCGGTGCTTAATATGGACAGTAGCTGGACTAATCGGGAGTAGGATATTCTGGAATTGATTATGCATAATTCTACGTTAGTCGTTCTCGTGTACATGTACGGAGAACCAAGGATGTAAGCGGGTCTGTTGGCCTTATCCAATATTGATTATCTAGGTATGAAATAGCCACCTTTCGAAAATCTAAACGACGGAGATTGTATTCGTACTTTGTATATCCATGCGCTGCCTCTACCTACTAATGTAGGTAGGTAGTTTAGTAGTTAGTTGGCTGTCAACTTGATACCATGCTCCAGATGCTGTAAAGGAGGACTGTGGTGGATGACTAAGCTGCCTTCAAGGTGTAGGCGAGGGCGGGCCTAGGTAGGTCAGTAGGCTTGGCCACTGAAGGTTGGGTACCTAGGTAGGTACTATAGTGAACGTAACTGTAAGGTTATGGAGGTTGGGTAGTGACGTCAATTGCGGGAATGACGGCAGTTGATCATGGCCCATCGCGGCCGAGGGAATTGAAAAAGGTTCTTGGTACATATGATTTCGACTGCTATTTGCAGCGTTGGTTGGTCGTTGGTCTTCTTGGCTTTATCTCATCTTGTTCACCTTCTGACGTCTTCATTTTTTTATTGAAACATTCAAGTTAGCGACTCTTTTTGGACTTGTCTTGTTTTATCTCGTAAGCAGGCACGAGACTACCTCGATACTCACTCCTCCGAGATCTCACACTTGCTCTATTCACCAACTCAAGTCCAATCCATCCGCCGGTCATCTCCATAAGTACCTTAGCTATCCACTCAGCCAGCAGCTATGGGGGGTAGTCACCACGAACCTCTAGGGGCTATGGGCCCTGTTGAGTGGGAGCAAGTGCCCCAAGACGACGACCTTGAAGAGTTCTTGGCCGATGTTCTTTCCGAGACGCAGACCGTGGTCGAATCTATTCCAGTGCCAGCCACGAAGAACGCTTCAAGCTCTGCAGGGCGAGCTCGATCCAAGACAGAGTCGGCGGCTTCAGCTCCCGATATCAAACGTGCTCTGACCCTGCGGCAGAAAGCTGAAGCCATCGGCCAGGCACAAGATCTGCAGAAGGAGTGGAAGGAGATCAAAGTCAGCGCGAAAGAGAATCCTCTTGGGATCAATGTCTATAAGCTAAGCGCTAAAGATGGGCGCGGCGCATGGTTCGCTCGCCGGAGTGTACACGAAGGGCTGTCTTTCGACGACTGGAAGAAGGGTCTCTCTGTTGAGTTTTCGGAGACGATGAAGGTTCAAGGTGCTCCTGGAAGTGGTAATATCCGTGGTATCGGCGCAGACAAGCGCGTGGAGGACAAGCAGATTGGTGATCATGGCCAACTGCAAGGTACGCCGACCCGACCGAATCATGCCATCACTGCCAAAACGTCTTTTAGCTGACAGCCAATAGTCTTTCAACTTTCTGCCCAGTTCCCTGGCCCGACTGCCCCGCGAGACTTTGTGACTCTTCTCCTGACTTCCGAGACCTCCGTGAAACCCGCCCAAGGATCCCGGCCCCTCCGACAGTACATGATAGTCTCAAAGCCTTGCGAGCACCCCGAGTGCCCTCCCCGCCAGGGCATTATCCGTGGCTACTACGAATCAGTCGAAGTAATCCGTGAAGTCCCAGTCGACAACATTACCTCCAAGAGATCCCTTTCGTCGGCCGATCTCCTGGATCGAGACGAGGGGAGGATAGCGAGCCCCAAACCTGGCAGCGAGGGCCACGGCTCAATACCACTCGACGAACGTCCCACGGCTGTCGAATGGCTCATGGTGACTCGTAGCGACCCTGGCGGCAGCGTCCCGCGCTTTCTTATCGAGAAGGGAACACCGCCAGGCATCGTTGGTGATGCTGGCAAGTTCCTTAAGTGGGTGACGTCGAAGGCTATGCATGGATTCGCTGAACCGGAAGAGATTGGCGGAGCAAATAATACTAGTGACATCGCTGGAGCATCTGTCACGAACGATGCAAAGTCCACGGCTGCACCGAACCCTACTGCTAATCTTGAAAGGGCCAAGGCTGAAGCTGCCATGTCTGCAAATCAAGACGACCCTTTCCCGGGCAGCAATGGGCTGTATGGTGTCATAGCTGGTGCCATAGGGGCTGCCAGTTCCTATATCCCTACAAGCCTGCTCAAGACCTGGGGAACTGGTTCGGATTTTGTGTCCACCGATGGGAGTGTGTCCGATGCTCACGCGATTGCTGAGGAGCAACATGATGACGATAGCGACACCTCCTCCATCCGAAGCTTTGCCTCAGCCCTTGAGAAGAGTGTGACTGCCGAGAACAAATCTCCCGATAGTCTTGTTGAGTCCCAGTCGGAGACTTCCCGCTCCAACCCGCAGCAGTCACAGCAGTCACTAGCTGATAAGGAACTTAAGAAGCTCGAACAAAAGAAGAAGAAGCTTGATGAGAAGATGGCTCGTCTTGAGGAGCGGCGACAGAGCAAGCTTCTTGGGGACAAGGAGAAGGACGCTGCTACTCTGGCCAAGTTGCGTGAGAAGCATGAAAAGGAGGTGGCTAAGCAGGAGGAGAAGTATCGCCGCGAGATGCGCAAGCTCGAGGAGAAACGTGAGCGGGACCAGCGTAAGGCTGAAGAGCGACGTCGCAAAGCAGCCGAGCAGGAAGAGAAGAACAACCTCTCACTTGAACTTGAGCGCGTTCGTGCAGAGCGAGATGTTGCTCGTCGTCAGATCGAACTCCTTGAAGGGCAGGTTGGCGAGTTGCAGGCACAGAATACGATGCTTGTCCGAAAGCTTGGTAAGAACGGACTGCTGGACAGTCCAGGCTCTCCATCACCATCCATTAAAAGCATCCAGAGAGCCCAGACAGATGTTTGAGATAACATGTTGGAAAGTATTGATTCAGTCAGGAGAGGAAAGGAGGGGTTGGTTCTCACAAAAACTACTATTGTTCACATACAGCACACGTGTTACGGCCGTTGTTCTACTGCGAGGCGTCAGAGGAGCTCTTTTTCAATAAATCATGAATAGCATCAACTCATTACTTTTCTCTTTGCTGCTTGTTTTACTTGCAGGGATCTCTCTTTGTTTGTGCGGAGTTTCCTAGAAAGACTGTAACAAAAGGCCTGACATATGCCCCAGGCCGTCTTGCACAGCACTGCCTGACTTGTTGATCCTCTCGCAAAGACCAGAATGAGGCTGTTTTCTTGCTATCGCTGCAGAAACACGAACAACCCGTGATAAGATGGCGAAGACCTCAGGCTTCGATGCATATCCAAGAGGTCCGTCTTCTTGGCTCACGAGATTCTCCATTGCCTCTAACCCGGCACTGATCCATGTCGTAAGTGAGTCGAGAGAGGGGTCATTAGACTCCCATGTCAGGATCTCGTAGAGAGAAATCCAGCGCTGTGTCTCTCTGACCTCATCCACGAACAAGTTCTGCTCCTCAATGACAAAAAGTGAATCATCAAACTTCATTGCCTCCTGCAGCTGGTCCTGAATAGAGAACACGTTGTTCTCAGGGGCTGGGTACCGAGAATCACCCATGACGCGACGCACAATGATCTGGCGGAACGTTGAGCTACCAGCGTAGTGCTCGGCTAGCCATAAGAGAAGACGATTTGCCGCTTCAATGGGTACAAGAGCTTTTCCTAGAATGCTCTGGACTGCTGCGGATCCCACGTCTCGAATGTCGTCATCGTCATCGTTGAGGGAGTCATAGAGAGCGAGGATAGCTACAAGGTGTTCTTCTTGAGCCCATGATTGGCCCACCTCAATGACGGAAAAGAATGAGCAGAGTGATTCGACTGTAGCGAGACGAGTATCAAAATCCTGCAAAAGGTTTTAGTGGACAAAGATCGTATATCACTGGCTTCCCCATCACTCACCTTATCATCCAGACCGGCATCGGCCATCATATGTCCCCAGTTCTTGATTCCCTCTGGGGTGACAACCTGTGCTCTACTGAGGATGGCGATGATACAGCCACTAATTCTGATAACCGCATTGGCGAGGGCAGGGTTGATAGAACTCAGTGGCAGGCTGCTCCAAATCTCCAGAAGCAGACCCGGTGAAACGAGGCTGATATTTCCACTCTTTAGAACCTGGTCGAGGATCTCTGTGAGGTTCTGCAGGGCAATAACCCGAGGCTCAACGGGTCCAATTTTGAGACATATATCGCGGTACAGGTTGCAGAACTTGCCCACATCTTGCTCTGAGAGGCAAGAAATTTCCCAAAGCTTAGGAACTGTCTCAAGGCCAGTCACTATCGTGTTGACGCCCATGGTCGTGCTCAGGAACAATGTGTTGAGATTTTCGATGGGGCCACTACCCTCAGAGATGGAGTGGACTTCATGTATTACCCTCTGTGCTCTAAGTAGAGCCCCCTCTCGGTTGTTGGAGGTAGGGAATTCGAGTTGAATAGGATCAGTTAACCCAGGCCTGGGGAGAGCTCGTACAAGATTAGTGACCTCAAGATACGCAGCAGGAATTTCAGGGGAGTCCAAGGCCTGGATTTCGCGCCAGTACTCAATGAGAAAACCGGAGAGCTTGGGTATGTCGTCTGTATAGTACCTATTAGCGGGGTTTCTAATTTGTCGATACAGTCTTTCTCACGTTGTAACCGCTCGGGCATAACCTCGCTCAACCGATCAACGATATACTTTAGTGCCAACAGAACACCATGTACATGATTCTGAACATTGCCGATTTGAGAGCGAACAGACTCAGCAGCAATACTGGTGATAGTATCGAGCCATTGAGCATGCAGGAGACACGAGCATAGAGTTCGGGCTGCAATCTCGCGGACGTGCCATACCGGGCTGGCCAGAT